AATAATTAGTATAAAAATTATGTTCCTGACTTCACTATAATTATTTTACTATGCAATTATAGTTTCAAATACTACATATTTTTCTATCAGTGCAGTTGCCGAATGACATTTGATTGAAAAACCGATCATATTTTTCACCGGATATGCAATTTAATCGGATAGATCCGTTTGTTATTATGTAATTGGATTGTCCGGTTATATTTAATCGGACATTTTTCTCGGCACGAAAGAAATATGTCAAAAAGATATTTAGAAAACCGTAAGATTTAAAGGTTGAAAATTATGCGATGGAAAATTTCAGGTTTAATCGAAGGAAAGATTTTCCGCCTCTAGTGCGATTTTCCGCTTTTAGTACGTTTTCGTTTATTCCAAAATAGCGAGAATATCAAGTTTAAGGAACGTTCGAGAAAGGCTGATGAGGGAATAAACGAAAACTTGTCGTGCAGTTTGATAGTTCCAGACAGCTGTCGACTTTAATCTTCAGCATCAAGATAACTGAAACACTAATCGTTTTAGTCGTGCGCTCTCAGCTGGTTTTGCGGGCGCCGCAATTAGTAGCTCGCGGTAGACTATCGAGTTAATTAATTAGCTGCTACATGATCGACTGTGAGACCGATACGTGGCTGATACGCGAAATCGTGCTCGACGAGTATATCGCTAAAATATCCGAAGAGTTCATTCGTGTTTGACTAAAAAGTGTTATCGTTCGATCGATATTTTCAATCACTTCATACTTGATATTAAGTGATATTATCTTCGAAATAGTCGCGAGGAACGTGTCGAAGATAAAATCGGACGTTTCGGGGCGCCCTGTACACCACATTGAAGCCACTTCGGCCTTACTACGTCACCGCACTGAGAAAAATGTCCACCGGATAAACCAATTAAATAGCGTTTCTGGTGATTAATTTTTCCGATTAACTTATGTATATCTAATGAAATGCGGCCACCGATGAAATCTGACCGACAAACCGATCATATTTTTCATCGGATATACAATTTAATCGGATATATCCGTTTGTTATTATGTAATTGGATTGTCCGATTACATTTTTTCGATCACTCGGATACTTTTCTCCGTGCAGCCGTGCCACATTAACCGACATCGACGTCAATTAGTTTAATTAAGGCACTTGCTTGGAATACAATCAGAAATATTTATGCGAGATCGTACGGGGAGAAATGCGTTCACGGCGCCTACGCGGTGCATCGGCCAAGCAAGATCGTCTGCCATGAGAACGCACCTAATCTACAAATCGAATCGAGCGGTACGTGTACACGTGCAAAGATAATGCACAAAAGGTCGACGCACCGCCACACTCAGCCAGTTCTTCCCGCAAACGTTATTTCGCATGTTTCACCCGTAAATTAACGTAGCTCGCGAACGCTTTATTATATTTACGCCGCGCTTCATCATTACCGCCAACGATTGCTCGCTCGATGCCTCGGTATAATGAGACGTGCATCTTTCCACGCACGTACGAATCCACGTACGCACAGAATCTCGTCCATGATGACGACCGCGTGTCTAAATCAGGCGTGTGTGCGTGTATGCGTCGCGATTACGCCGGCGGTGCCATTTTCTCATGGTAAGTAAACCGTCACACATTTTCATATGATAATGACCACTGGCCAGACGGCGCGCGTATGCCATTTAGAATACGCCAACTTCCGCCATTGTGCGCCCACAATAGGAAGTTTCTCCGCTGGGACTTTACCACGGAATACGTAAAGTATATACGCAATGTATTTATATCACCTTGTACCGCGATATTTGTACAACGTGCGAAAAATTGCCTCCGCGATCACACGCGTGACATTATATCAAAGTTACATTTCGTAACTGACTCTATTGTCCTTACTGCTCTCGAGACGCGAGCAAGTGTACGAGTGTAAATCATGTTAATTAATTAAAAACGCGTACGACTTTCATAACGTTGGAACATTAGATAATTCCCGCTCCTCGCACACAAAGTTACGTTGAATGTAAATGAAACAAAATCAAACGGATAAAACGTTAACTAAAGAATTAATAGATATTATATTAAAAAATGAAGATTAAAAACAGAGGATTGTATTCAAGTAACATCGTTAATTTCTGCTCGACCTTGTGCACTAAAATTTTCCTGAAGTTCGTCGTTTATACCGAAAAAAATCTTCGCTTTAACGATCAATATTATTTTAATGCATTCGATTTGAATGGTTTCTCTCTCTCTCTCCCACGGACGATAGAATTATCACGTCGATGTCATCTCCAGAATAAAATCGTAAGCGCGCTATATATCAATGATAATCAATGATGAAAACGGCGATGATGAACGAGCGCATCCGCGCCGGGAAACGAGGATGAAAATCTATCACCGTCAAAATCGGCAGATCGATGTTTGATGCGTCTCTAATTATGTTATCGAGAGCCAGGACGATACTTTCACACGGCCGGATTATCTTACCGTGACCGGCTCAATTACGTGCACGAGCTTATTAACAAATTGGGCCAAGTTAATCTCACTCGACATTCTCTTAATATTCACTGTAGAGCCGATCAGATGGGCCTTCTGATTATTAGTCCATTCGATACAGTCTCGCACAGTCTACATACAGATTAAATTATCAAGCGAGATACACAGGATGTCGCAGAATCGACGGGGAGTAAACTTACGGCGTTTTTTAAACTCGAGGCAGTTTTTTCAACGAAAACAGCGAAGACGCATTTTTCGTAATTTAAGAGATGCGTCTTACACCGATATTTTATTAAAAGCCGCAAGTTAAAACGGTCAAAGTAAAAATATTCAAGTATATTATCGTTTGAACACATTCATTGTTACACTGAGAAAAACGTCCGATTAAATATAACCGGATAATCCAATTACATAATAACAAACGGATATATCCGATGAAAAATGTGACCGGGTTTTCAATCAAACTTCGTCGGATGTATCCACAATTTAATCGGAAAACGTAATCGGAAAAATTAACCATCGGACGCACTAGGTATTCAATTGGTTTATCCGATGAAAAATTTTCTCAGTGTAATTATTATTATATCCAAAAAGTTTTAACCGTTCTTTCGACAGTACATTATAATGAAAAGTAATTTTTCAACATTTTACGTGTAAATCATTACTGTCTATCTAACGTTAACGTACAAAGTCGCTCTAAAATAGCACACTTTATTATACAAATGAAAAACTAAATTAACCTTCTTTTTACATACACTGAGAAAATGATGTATGTTCTAACAACTTAATCATCACATACCTAATTACAGTCGGCATTAGATTGTACTTGAAAGTGTTTCCAACATCTCGAAAGGAAAGGGTTTGCCCGTAATAAACTTTGAGAATCGCGATCTGAATTTGTAGCAGAGGAAAAACAATCGCGCGCTACACGGGTGATAATTCGCAGCTTTCTAATGATTTTATAATGACAGAGTACAGTACATATTATCCGACTGTCTTA